TTTATCAAGTGAGTTCTGGGGAACAAACGTCGCCAACACCTCACTATTACTCGACAATGGTGTTACTCATTGTCATTAGTTGAATAAAATTAAACCATCCTCATAGGATTATGGATAAGAGCTGTAAAGAAATTGCTTATTAGAACGTAACAGATTTAAATATAAATTTAACACATAAAATTATTACCTAAAAATAATTGATTTTCATCTGCTGAATAAAGAACTTCAAATGAAAAAGCAGAAATTACTGATAAACATATATGCATATATAATTATAAATATTTTTTGAATAATAATTATGCCACTTATGATAATAACAATGAATTGCCCTGATTTTCGTCAGATATTTAAACAGTATTCTCTGTGTCATGAAATAAAAGTATTCGATGAAAAATGTTTACTTCTTTTAAAATACTGTTTTTTTTTAATTGTACAAGTTGAACTGAAATATCGAATGAATAAATTCGCTTCTTAAGAAGTAAACATTAAATGTTGATCATTGAAATTAAAAGAAAAAAAAGAAATTTTTTTGTTCATACAATTAACAGAATCATTTTAAAGAGCATCAATTAAACAGGCAATATTTTTGTTATCTTTTATAAACTGCGTAAAGATAATGAATGAATGAGGCTGAAAGGAAACTTTCTTGGTTCATGATGTGGTTAAAATAAATTGTCAATTCTTGATTTTGAGAAAATGATCTAACTTGAAAATCTAACTGCCTAAGTAAATCTACCCTCTTAATTCCTTAGTTTTTCTTTGAATACCACTTCTTACCATTCCAGTCATTTGGAAACTGTGTCGAAGTTTGTTCTTAGTAAAATTCCAGTTTAGGCAAACAAGCAATCTTAGCTTTTACTGGATAACGGTAGTTATTTTATCGTTCCACAGTAATCAGTTGACGATAGTTCACACTCTCTAAACTGTATGACAAGCTAAACAGCAGAATAACTAAGTGCTAACTTATTTTGATACAAAGGAAGCAAAATGTGAGATGGAAAGCTAATTTACAATATGGATTGTGTTATACAGTTAGTTATGTGAAGGTAAAATGTTGGTAAAACGCTGAATATCATTTTAATAAACGGAAACTTTTGATCGAATTTGTGCATAGTTTTGAGTGTAGACTGGTAGAGAACAACAAACTATAAAAAGCATTCAAAAAAGATTATTATATATATATATATATATATATATATATATATATATATATATATATATATAAGAGAGCGAAATTGAAGTCATTTTGTGTGAAAATCAATAAATGAGTGATACCTAATTTAAATGAATTAAACAAAAAGTGTTTCTTACATTTTGTTAGATATATACAAAAAATAAAATTAGCAAATGAAAATATTCAACCGTTATCCACAAATTACATGAATAATGAAAACTTAATGCCATAATAAAATAAGGATTCCATATTAAACTTCTTAGTTTAAGCTTAACAAAATGGAAACTTTTTCAATTTTGAAGTTACGTAGCCTTGAATAAAGCAAAAATTACTAAGAGGGAAGGAATGTAAATGAAGCGAAATCGTTATAAAATAATGGGTGACAGGGAAAATGCCGAAATTCACTCAGTGCCATTCACATTTGAAAATGCTGACTTTTAAAATTTTTGTTACAAACACTTTGTATCAAAAATAAGTATGGATCATATTCAGGTTGAGTTTAATACGACTATTTATCTCAATATTAGCAATCGTGTTTGCTAAACTATGATTGTTGACGGTTTGACTGACAATTGATTGTAAAAGCACTTCCATCCAACCTCTTTCAACAAGCTTTATTTGATTTTGAAAACGTTTAGATGATGATATTCAAATAAAGATGACAGAAATTGATATTTTTAAGCAGAATTATTCGTAGAACGGATGAATAATATATCTATAATTGTTCTCTCTCATAATGTGCATTTGACTTAAATGACATAACAGTACAACTTCTTTCCGTAAAACATCTTGTTTGGTAAAGTTATGATCAAATTTACAATTGTAACACAGTAAATAATAGACAATTGACAACTTGTTAACTCGTTGAAATCATGTCACAATGAGTCCAAAACTTATTATTCTAAGAAAATAAGGTTGATAAAGAACGACCTCTTGTCGACTGGTTGCATACTGAATGAATTTCCACATATTATCGCATAGAAATTGCAGAATTTATTTGAAATAACTTTTTTTTGAATGACATATCATTTATGCTAATTGTGTTTAAACAGAACTCTTAGAAATAGTTCAATGCAATTGATTTCCTTCACTAGTTTAAATAAGGCAAGACCGATAGTGCTGTAAAAAGTACATTGAATTCACTATATTTCTGTGCTCTACATTCAGCTACATAAAATAAAATTAGTTTAGTTATCTAATAGTGTTGAAAAATGATTTGTCTATCAGTAGGGAATAAATTTCTTGAAATATGAAACAAGTTGAAAATTTAAGTTTTAACACGTTACAAATGCATGGAATGACATGTTTAGAATTTTCACGATAAGTTTAATTATCTCAGTATGATAACAATGTTTTAGGAATTTCAAAAAGACAAATAATGCGTTATTTCAATCCATTAGATTACAATCACAGTTGTTTAACTCAGCTATGCATTCAAGATATTTGAAAGGAGCGCGGAAATTTACAAATGACTGACTATCTATTAGGAAATAATTTTATAATTCCGATTATTTGGGATGGCAACTTTCCAGGATAGAAAATTTTATGTATATATGACCAATTATGATCAAATTCTAGTCGAAATAAGCATATCTACCGAAAATTATGGCTCCAGTTAATTTTGTTTTCAGTTAATTAATTTGTTCATTATGTTTTTTTCAAACGCTTACGTCATGTGTTCTGATGGTATCTAATATTCACTGTATTTTGATTTGATTTAATGAAATCAGATTAGTTTGAGCAGTCCGACTCCATTTTCATTTACCGCTCAATTTTAAGCGTTCTCCTAAAACCGCGTTCTTATCATTTGCGAAATCCTATTAAAACCGCTTAACGGATAAAAAACCCTAATTAGAAACTTTACTAAACGTAAGTTTACAATAAGCACAAATAACTAAAACAGATTTCATATCCAGTACAGTAGAAATGAAGTAAATAGGTCTTTGTGAGATTCTTTTACTCACATCTTGCTATGCGTTAGTAATTTAAACAAGCTGAGTGAGGTTGATGATGAGATTAATGAGTTAATAAAAGCTTTAGATAATAAAAGATAATCTAATTGCTGGAACTTAAGTTCTCATTCTTAATCGAACCCATGAAATCAACACACATCCTCTTATAGCTATTTTAACTGGTTTAACTGATGATCAATCAGTTGTTCAATAACTCCTGACTTGTGAATGGAATATTTGGTATAATCTTCAGTAAACAGACCAGATAAGACTGCGACATTTATTGTTTCAATAATGAATGATTAAATTTTCTACTTTAGAAATGAAAATTATCATTAGTACAGTAAAATAAATGAAAATAAACACCAAGTCTATGAATTCACTAAAAACTAGTTGAAAGTTTAAGGGACTAAAAGTTCAGTTTTTACAAAACAGAAATATTATTTTTATTAAAGATATAAAAATTTAAATACCAACGAGATGTAAACAAATTATCTGATGGACCAATCTTAAAAAACTACTCAAAACGTCTAAATTTTTACTGCACACTTCTGATTTCGATTGTGAATTTGATTGTGTAATAACTGCCTCTTTAATAAATGACAAGGTTTCTTACTTGTGTACATCTGCAATTTGATTCCGTGATAAAAAAAAACAAGCTCTTCCGACGCTTGTCTATCAATAATAGTCTCACCAGTTTTCCAATAAGTGTTCAGGGTTAATTTATATCTCAAACACCAAACACTCCTTGAAAATTCTAATCACACTGCCTCATTAGAGTCTTCATACCTACAATCAGGCTAATTAACTAAATGGCAATATAAACTTAAACTCTATGCACTATAGAAGATTTAACAACATATATTCAGTTTCTTATTCTACAACAGTATCATTAATCCTTTCTGATTTTCTTTTTTTATAAATATCGCTGTTATAAAAACATTCATTAGTTTTCTCCCTTATATTCTTCAATTGAACATTTATCTCTCATCTTTAAACCATCTTGATCTTACTATTTGATTATTACACCATAGCTTTTCAAGATTTTAAATTTTCTAACAACTTTGATGCATTCTCACTCTGTATATGATAATGAATGATAACAAATATCAAATAAATATAATACGATTGTAAAATTACAAGAAATGATATTATTTCTCAAGAAAGAAAGTTATTTTCATTGAATTATCTTCATACAACAACAAATTATTAACCAAAACCCAAATCTAAATGGTTCGAAATACAAGAAAATAACTGTAAATACTAAACAAAGATGAATACGATTTTCATATTTCTAATTCATCATGAATTACCTTACCTGCTTTCATAAAATGCGCACAGCATACACAGTTACGTTAGGTTCATTTGAAAAAAAAAACAAATTAAGATCTACAACAAAGATGTATTTGTATGTTAATAATGAAATGTGAAAGATTCGACAAAGTGTGTTCTGTTGATTAAGAACGATTGTCAGGTGAACATTCCATATTCAGCAACATATTTTAATTGAAAGATAAATTATCAAATTTAGTTTTCATTAAAGGTTTATTAAAAATCAAATTTAAATGAGACGAAAACAACTGAAAGCATTTAAAATACAAAATATTTAGTCAGTTATCTGAAGAAAAGTAGTAGCATTTTCCCAGTTGATGAAAAGATTGTTAAAAACAAGTCATATAACAATTGAATTTCTAATGAATATTCTGTTTTTCAAAATAGAAACATATAAATTGAACAAATCATGTTCAATGTTTTGGCTTTTCAAAATTTCTTTGAATGAAATAACTAGTCCTTGAATAAATGAAACAATTTGTATTCTCTTATTTGAAAAATTAAAACATGGATATCATAGGAAACCAATCAGTTATTGAAATAAAAATCTTTATTTTCTTGTTTCTCATACCAAATAAATAGTTTTTCCAGTCTATTTTTTAGGTGATATATGAAAACTTTGTTGTGAATTTATTTCTGGTTTTGTAAAAAATGTACAACACTTTGGTAATGTTGGAATGCTTTTCAATAATTCCACTTCGCTATAAGTAATTTTCGAATTTGATTCTTTTTTAAATGTTGACAAATGTGTTAATTGAGGATCACAGTGAACATGTTTCGAACGTGCAACTGTTGTACAAGTTTTATCAGTGATTAACGCATTATTCTCACCTCCATAAGGAGCAGAAGTGAAACACTGATTTAAATTATTAATTACAGGATCAGATTTGTTGCCACGTTTTGACACTTTTTTGTTACTGACAATTTGTGATAAGGATAGTGACGGCGCATGGTGAAATCCAAGAAAACTTGGTTGGTTTAACAAAAATTGCTCACTACCCGACACAAGTGAATAACTCTTATCCATTGTTTGCTTATTGCATTTATAATCATCTGACCATATAGAATGTGAAACAGGATCACAGAGTACTAAACTATTTTCAACATGAGAATGCTTTTTATTAGTATTGATTTCATTAGAATGATAATTTCTAGGTAGACGTTTCAAATGAAACTCTTTATTACCATTGTTTTGCAATGAGTCGGAACGTTTTTCCTTAATTTTATTCCTCAACTCTTCTTTCTGCTGTTTACGGCGTTTTGCTACATAATCGATTTTCGCCTTACGATATACACCACGTTTTCTGGTTGTATTCAATATAATCATATCACATAGAACTGTGGCTATACCAAGCAGTGCTAATCCAGAACCCAAATTCATTGAAAATGTTAATATATTAAACTTACCACCAGTTCCATACACTGTGATGAAAAATTGTATACCATACGCTTTAATCAAATTACGTTTACGTACACCACCATCAAGATAATGTTGACTCAATCGAAAATTCCATCCCTTCGCTATATTACTCTGAAAGTCGTCCAATCGACGAAACACATATTTCGGTAAACACTTCTCCTCATCAAAGTCTAAATTACAATTCCATTCAATATGAATGGAAACCATACCACCAGTTTCCCATATATCTTTATTCACTGGATCTGAATATTTCAGTATATCACCAAGTCGAAAAATCGGACAATATTTCATTTTATCATCATTTGGATTATACAAACATGTTTTTAAAAATAAACTATTCATCCATTTTAGTATATTCCTGCGCTTTATTCGATAACGTGGAAATTCGATACTGTTCTTCAGTATTACAGTGAAATTTTCAGCTGATGACAATAAGTGCGGTCTAGGAGTGCTATCAAATTCAGTAGGACACCAACCGTATATTTCACATACACGCAAATTCGATTGTCTTGTAGAATTCACACATTTTCCTGTCTGTATTCCACTTCCACGTTGAACCAACTGTCCAGCATGACATTGTGAATCATTGTGACAACTATTACCAAACACATCATGAGACTCTTCACAACGTCCTAACATTTGTCCAGGTGTATAGATTAAATTGGTCATCACAAAGAATGCTGAATTCTGTTGTGGTGGTATCACGTAATCAGCTGCATCCCACACAGTAGCTCCGAGTGATGGATTGTTTGTCACATTGGCAAAAGCGACACCTTTCAATTTAGCAGTCACTCCACTTACTGCTTGATCGAATGATTGATAACCCTTTTCATAGATCATAACCCATAATACAACATAGAGAATAATTCCCAATTGAATGAGTCTGAATGTGACTCCGATTTTCTTTGAATGAACTTGTACCACTTTCTGTGTTTCATACTCAATTAATGCTTCTATAAAACTGCCTAAACATCCCATTATCTCAACAGTTAGTAAAGGTATGAATAATTTTTGATATTAATAATTTCAAAGTTAATTACGCCTCGTAATTAATTAAATCAATTGGATTTTAACCATTTATGTCCATTGAATATCTGTACAAAATGTTTACTTTGCAAATTATTTTTATATCTCAGTTCATATTCGATTTATTTATGAATACATACCCTTTATTGGTTATCAGAAAGACCAATAGCATTATAACTGAAATGCTTTTCAAAATGATGTGTGAAAATCTCAAATTTTCGTACGCAACTACGACTTACTTATGAGTAACTAAAAAGAATATTTAAAACTTATTTCAAAAGTTCCAAACGAAGTTTATCTTTATATTCAAAACATAAATACTGGTACTAGTGAGCATCAAAATACATTTTGCGCTGTGTGTGCATTGACATTTCGGAAGTTCATAATACATAGAAAATCAAGTGTTATAATCAAGATAAAAGAGGTGATGTAAATGTAATGGAATGAATGACTGATTGGGTAATTGCTCAACATTATTACATAAACAATTATTTGAACGTTAATAGGATAATTTAAGAGTTGAATATCAGACAACGAAAAAATAATGAAAAAATAATTTAAAGATTATAGACAGAGTTTTAAAAAATATTAAAAATTAACTTTAGTAAAGATTATACGATGACCGATCTAATCACGATAGCTCGGAAAGGCTTAGAACTTACAGTTATATTTAAACCTACCCCTGTATGTAAGGATAATTTTACATTGGTTTTCAGGAGAACCAGAAACTATCCAGGTATTAACATTACAACCTAGACAGTGCTGCTTAATCCTGAGGTGCAGTAACCACACAGGCCACCTGGTATTCAGATGAACCATTTGTACCTTTTATGTACATTATTATATACTGTTAGTATTTCCGATCCATGATTGTATCAATCAATATGTACTGAATGAACAGATCCATTCAACCCATTCCGCTTACATAATTGTCAAACGTATTATTAATAGAAGTGGCAGTGGCGATGACCCTCAGGAATGTTGCAAGGCAGCCACCAGTAATGAGGAAATTTCCCAGCAAACTTAATTTATATATGAGCAATTCACAAAACTTACAAAAGCAATCCCAAACCATCCACGATGTTTGTATTGAACCTCTGGTCTCTTAGGAAACTTTCAACTCTACATAGGAATATAGCTCGAATACACTTAAGGGTATCAAATGCGTCTGAGCTCTTTTGAGTCAAGCTGGGCTACACTCTATGTTTTATATATATACCACGATCTATATTGCTACACTGGAATCTACAGCTGAAAGGGAATAAGATGTTCACAAATGAAGTTACCAAACACCATTTGGATAGTGGACATGAAACGAATGTAAGTAGTACATATAAAATAACAGACAAAAACAGCAATCTTATTCTACTTGGCAGAGGCAATCTTTATCAAACTTTTCCAACTTGACCAATATGTACAGAATGAAAGTGTGATTACCTTTCCCTGCCATAGTAATTAGATCCTTCTTCTTATAATCTTTAGTAATGATAATTTTTAATATTTTTTTAAACTCTGTCCACAATCTTGAAATTTATTTTCGTTATTCTTTCTTTGTCTGATATTCAGCTCTTATATTATCTTATTAATGCTCAAATATTTTTTTGTTTACAGCAGGACCGCTACTAACTTTTATTCTGCGCCACGTTTGATAAAGTCTCGGGCCATTGAGTTGTACCAATTCTAGTATCCCAATCATGAACTTATGTAGTAGGGCCAACAGATACCAGTTATTAACTCAGTTCTTTCATACCACAACAGTAGCATGTACTGACCACTCTTCCGCCCTCTCCAACCATTCCCAAAGCTGGTCAATAATGCACAGTGTACTATTGGTTGGGACAGCATTCGTAATACGCGTCCAATCTACCAGAATCCGGTGTATCAGGGTAGAGAAATTACTTACTGTTATACAAGTTTATTCATTGGGGGTTGCTTACTCTGCTTTGAGCCCTTCTAAAGTTACTTCCTGTTCCAAACCCGAATAAAAGAAGAGGGTCGAGCATAATGTTGGCGACCTCATCCCTTGGAAAACCCACTCACTGAAAAAATTCTAATCAGAAAAAGTAATTCAAACTATTTCAACTCTACTCTGGTAGGTTGACGGTATTCGTTTAGAAGAGCTATCACGCTTCATGGCGAAAGCCCAGTTCCTTCGGGTGTCACGACGCCGAAGGCCCTTCTAACATCCAGAGCAACCATTAGTATAGGTACATGGAATTTTTGTACATTGTGGGAGACCGGGATAACCCTTCACGCTGCTGAGAAAATGAAAAGATACTACCTGGTGGTACTTGAAATTATTGTAACACATTGGACTCAGGTTGGAGTATATTATACTTCGGCCGTGGAGAAGAAAATGCCTCACATACACTAGGAGTTGCACTGATGCTGTCCAAAGAAGCACAAAACTTACTGATAGGATGGGAATCTCGTGAACCCAGAATCATTATGGCCTCCTTCAAAAAAAGAAAGAGGGTGTTTCACTGAATGTGACTCAGTGCTATGAGCCTATCAACGATTACATGGAGGACGATAAAGATCAGTTGTATGAAGCTGCAGTTAATCCTAGGGAAATACCTAAAAGAGGACTTGACCATTCTGATGGGAGACCTAAACTCCAATGTTGGAATGGACAGAAGTGGATATAAAGACACCATAGGACGACATGGATTGAGAAAAAGGAACGAGAACGGAGAGAATCTCGAAAACCTCTGTGCCTTCAACAATCTGGCCACAGGCGGCACCATATTTCCACACAAACTCATACACAAAGCCACATGGACTTCACCGGATCACACCACACAGAACTAAGTTGACCACATCCACATCAATAAAAGTTCAGAAGGTCTATGGAGGACGTGGGAACCAAGAGAAGAGCTGATATAGCCTCAGATCATCATATGATGGTGGCAAAGCTGAAACTGAAACAGCCTTTCTTCGGGATACTGGAAAACTCAACAATTTCAATAGTGCTCTCAGCAAAAAGTTTCCTGCCTTACACTATATATTCAGAAAAGAAGAAACTTCCGTAGAGCACAACCGGAAAAGGATCAAGGAAGCAATCACTTCAACGTTTCATTAGGTACCAGGCCACAATAAGCACAATCCAAATGAAGGGGTCACTATCAACACACTAGAAAATATTTAAGAAAAAAAGAACAAGAAGACTACAATCATTTATAGGCACAGACCGAATACATGGAAGCAAACAAGCAGGCGAAGTTGAGGATTGAAGCTGATAAACTTTTATGTGTAGTAGACCCAGTAGTGATAACAGAAAAAGCTGCAGGATGAGGAAACGTGAGACAAATATGCTATAGAACAAAGAAACTTGCTGGAATAAATGATAAACCAAAACCATCAGTCAAGAAAAAGGAAAGCAAAATAGTCACCGAGTTTTAAAAGCAGCAAAACAGGTGAGTAGAGTATTTTGAAAAACTCTTGAATAGACAACTTCAGTAGACCCACTGAACCCACCAAACACAAAAGCAACAACTATGAACCTCCTAGTTAGTGTTGGCACATCAAAAACTGATAAAATCAACATGGCCATCAGACAAATCAAGAGCACAGAGCAGAAGGACTAGAGAACTCTAATATCAAACATGGAAGCAAGTGAAAAGATGCTCCACTTTCTCTTCAGAATGATTTGGGAGAAAGAAAAAAGACCAAGAGACTGGAGAGAAGGACACATCATCAAGGTATCAAAGAAACGGGATCTTAACAAGACTGAGTACCACATAGTCATCATTCTACTCTCGGTACCAGTTAATGTCACTAATATAGTCTGGTTCAACTGAATGAAAGATTCAGTGGACTCCAAACTTCTAGATCAGCAGGCTGGATTCCACAAGGATCGACCATGTACCGACCGAATTGCGATACTACGAATCATCGTTAAACAATCAACTGAAAAAGACTTATCGCCGTCTATGAACTTCCTTAAAGATGAGAAAGCGTTTGACAACTTAGACAGGACGACATTATGGAGGCTTCTTCTGCCTAAGAAGATAGTCAACATCATGCACAATGCTTACGACAGACTACACTGCTAAATCTTTCATCAAGGACAGCTCACAGACTCATTCCAAGTGAAGATCGATGTCAGACAAAATTGCTTAGTTTCACCCTTTCTCTTTCTTTTGGCGGTCGACAGGACTACGAGGTGAGGAACGGCATATTGTGGACAGGTCAGATACAGCTGGACGATCTAGGCTTCGCAGATGATCTGGTCCTTCCGTATCACACACAACAACAAATATAGATGAAGACAGCTAGTGTAGCAGCAGCCTCTGTAGCAAGAGGTCTCAATAAACACAAATGAAACAACAAGATCCTCCAATACAACAGAACATTCTCCAACCAAATCACACATGACGGAGAAGCTTTGGAGGAAGTAGAAATTTCTACATACATGGGCAGCGTCATCGATAAACAAAGTGCATCTGACGCAGATGTAAAGACAGGGACTGGCAAAGCAAGGACAGTATTTCTACAACTGAAGAACATCTGGAACTCAAAACAACCGTCAACTAATACCAGAGTTAGAATTTTTAGTACCAACGTCAAAACCATTCTATTGTATAAAGCGGAAACTTAAAGAACTACGAAAGCCATCATCCAAAATATACATATGTTTATTAGCAGTTGTCTGCGAAAGATACTGCGGATCCGTTGGCCAGACATCATCAGAAACAACCTAATGTGGGAGAGTAAAAAGCATATTCCAACTGAACAAGAAATAAGGAAAAAGCGCTGGAGGTGGTTGGAACACTCACTGAGGAGACCACTCAACTGCATCACAAGGCAAGCCCTAACTTTGAAGCCTTAGGGTCAAAGGAAAAGGGACAGACCAAATAACATACAAAGTCGTTAGCTGAAGGTGGATATTAAAAGAATGAACAGCAATCTGGTAGAAATGGAAAAGAAAGTCCGGGGCAGAGTAGGATGCAGAATGCTGCTGTAGATGTTCCTTTAAAATCAAACATTTAAAGTAGTTGAGTTAAAAGACGGTAAATTTAAGAGCAACAACTTAAGATATATCCACCAGTCGAACAGCATCTACAGTGATGCCACCTTTCAACAATGAGAGAAGTTAGAAACGATTAGTTCTAGAAATATCATACCACCTTTTATCACAGCCTTCATACTCTCATCAGAACACGAGATCAACTTTCTCATAATCAAGTCCTTCTCCCAATTCTTAATAACTCTCTCCACTAGATCTTGTCGAGTATCTTGGTCAATGCTTGACGCTAACGATTCGAGTTTGCCAGATATTTCTCCTGTTCTCCTGAAAATACACCCTAAACTACGTATTGAAGCTTCCAATATTCGAACCTTGTACCAGAAAGGACTACAGGTTTTCTTAGCTAGGACTATAGTATCGCACTCCATCTCTGTATGCTGCGTCTCCGAGACTCAAACAGGATCCAGGTACAGTCACTCGCTTGAGCTCAACCTGTCAAGATGAAGAACTGATTCGACTTATCCCTTGTGTATCTGGAGGCCCCACTACTAATACATGTGGCATCGTTGGTGTAGGTATAGCATTAGGTCCAAAGGCAGAACTAAATTGGATCCAAGTATACAGTTCCTTGGATGCTCTCTGACTAAACGGGACAGCAAGAACTCGGAAGTAGAGGGACACTCGCTATTGCCTCTTCGTTGTCTCTGTGCATGCTTTCTCCAACTGCACCTCGAATCAAGCAAGAGATGAATTTTACATTAGGCTACCTAAACTTCGAAAGGCTGATCGATTTGACTCAGTAATAGGGGCGGGTGATTTCATTGTTTAATTAGGTTGACTGAACGAAACTGAAAGTCATGTAGGTGAACCTGACAGTGTTGTGGCTCGGACAACAGATAATGGCTTCCGTCTAATGCAGTTATGTTCAGATAACTGAGTATTTCTAGCAAATACTAACTTATAAGATGCATATCTTGATGTGGTGACCCCCAAAATCGATCCAATGCTGGACACAACAAGACCACATTGTTGGCGTTTTGATCGAAGACTTGCGCTTATTCTAGAACACACATGGAAAAGGAGGCGACAATATGTAATGGTAAACAACTGTTCAGACTTATCTAGGAAATCGGTATTAAGAATCCGACTGTTAGTGAGACTCGGAAAAATATGAGACTATTATTCATTGTCACTCCAGGAGATTGAGCCGATAGGCAAAACATATTGAGATAAACTTCAACTGGCATTCAGTCACATTTTAATTACTCACGATCTCCATTCAACCTGAATGGCAAAATGATGTGAGTCTTCCTACTGTTAATCAGGTTGAAAAGGTTTTAGGCAATCTAAGGCGAGGGAGAGCAGCACAACTTGATAGATTAATCACTGAGATTTTTAAGAAGGAAGGTCTAGTTTTATCAGTTAGATTAACCGAGATCTTTAATAGATTTTGGGAACTGAACCTAATCCCATTTGACTGGTCTCAATTGCTGATTGTCCCAGTTTACAAGAAACTACAAAACCCTCGTGGCAATCGCAAAGAGATCAGCCTAAATAATTCTGTTCGATATATTGAGACTAATCAGTGTTACCAGGTGGATGATCATGTTGAATCCAAGTAGTATGAAAACAGGTTTCCTTTCGACTAAAACACTTTCTGTTACTTTTATTCTTATCTTTCCATATTTATTGATAGACTTTCGTGGATAATCATTATGCTTCAGATACTTTATAACAATGACTGATTCCTCGGAACATAATTTTCATACTCAATTGAATAGAGGTCGAAACCTATTGTCATTCACTTTCTAGACCTTGGTATCCAAGTTTGTGGAAATGGAAACATTCAAAGATTGTTTCATCTGAAGGATATATGAATGGACTTTATTTGAATTTTAATAGTTTATATCCGATAAGTTTTACATGAGCTTTAGTCAGTCGAGTATAAAAACCGTGTTCCGAGGAATCAGTCATTGTTATAAAGTATCTGAAGTATAATGACTATCCACGAAAGTCTATCAATAAATATGCGAAGATAAAAATAAAATTAACAGAAAGTGCTATAGTTGAGAGGAAACTTGTGTTCATACTACTTGGATTCAAAGATGATGATCCACCTGTCAAGACTGATTGCAGACTTAGGGCTGCATTGAAAAGGAATTAACCAGCAGCAAAATTGGTCTCAATATATCGAACAGCATTGTCATTATAATATTCAATAGTGAATAAATATTCACCTTACTTTGCCTCCAACTGTGTACATACCAATTTGCATGTATGTGCCAAGGCACATATTTTAGGAGAACAGAAAGGCGAGTAAATGTTCGCATCCATGAGTGTATTGCTGACAAAATTAAGACTAACAGGTCAACTTGCCTTCAACAATTCAACCGCTCGTCATCTACTTGATATTCCAATATCGTTCAAAATTTTCATTTGACAAACATCTTCGAACTTAGTATGTTTTGCCTAAACAATTGCTATCAAAAAATTTAAATCAGATTTATGTATTCAAAAAGATACTGTAGTCACTCTGTTTTGATGACTTTTGTGACAATTTTGTGTACAAATGAAAAATTAATTTATTTTCTTAACCTCCTTACTTTTACTGAGCTCTAATTATATTTTTAATCTTATAATCAGTCGTTTTTTGTGCTTATCATTACCGAACAACCCCATTCCTGGTGTTATGATGTAACCTTGTAGTTAGTAGTACGTAACGAATACCAATCTTTTCGTATAGAATTTTCATATTATTCATCATATAGACTATTCTATCATTTGAACACATTTTATCATTCTTTCACATTTACCATCGTTGATCAATCTCCATAGATGATATTTCCGAAATAATGATATAATTTTCAATTAGAGTTATAGAGATTAGTGCTTTTACACATTTGAAATCATCAATCAATCATTGTTAGATCAATCAGAGTTAGACATTAACACCGTCGGATGCCGGCCCAGTGGTCCAGATGTGAGGCGTTCGCGTACAATACCGAAGGTCCCGAGTTCGAATCCTGCGAGGTGAACAAGTCGTGGATACGCACTGCTGATGAGTCCCATACCAGGACGAAACGGCCGTCCAGTGCTTTCAGGTTTCTAATTGTGGTCTAACAATGATTAATTGATGATTTCAAATGTGTATAATGATATAAAGTATGTTCACTGACTTTGCTAATTCATATCACTGTGTTTAGGTTGTATGTAGCTGATGAAAAACTGAGAAATAAAATGAATCAATCCAATACTGTTACGTTTTTTGTTCTCGCTCTCTTTTTAAACTATGATCATTATTAGTTCCTATGTAATTCAGTGTGGATTTTGTTAGTTCTACCAATTCTTAACTAAACTACTTAATGGACTAATCATTATAGTAATGATGAAGAAGAATTTGAATTTAAACAAATGAACTTCATTAATGAATATTGTCATCAATTTAATTACAATAAGCTATAATTTTACGAAAACATAAACAATTAAAAAATACCTTTTACAATTAGTTCTCATGTTCAAGAAGTCTTTGTTGTTTCCAATATGTCTGTTTAGCAGTATTAATACCGAATTCGGTAGATGGGCTTATTGATAAATTTGGATTTTGAGGTGTTGTCACATTAGATATATTAGAGAATAATAAAAAGGAGTTGGTAGGTGAAAGTAAATTATTTTTGAAATTGTTATTAAGTTTATTAATGACTGAAGTTTTATTTCGCTCCGACTGTGCATGATTGTTGACTGGAACTAAATCTGCCAATGATTTATGTTCTTGTGGTAATATATTAGGCTGAATTAACGTGGTGTTGTTTTGCTTTGATTTGATTTCAGGAATAAAATTCGTTGAAGTAACATTTGATCTTCTAAGTGATAGTGGACTTCTTTTAATGATGAATTGCTTCACTGATGAAAATGGAGATCGCTGGACAGATTCCGATGTCCTTACAAAGTCATGATGACCCCGTATTATTAAATAACCTGTCTTGTCACTTTTGGTTTCTTTGATTACTGGATGAGAAGAAACATCATATTCATTACTGTTTTCACCAGTTTGCTGCAGATTTGCCTTTTCAGTGATTAAATCAATTTTCGCTTTACGATAAATGTTTCTTTTATGTGTAGTATTCAATACAATCAAATCGCATAGCATAGTAGCAATACCGAGCAATGCTAATCCAGAACCCAAATTCATTGAAAATGTTAATATATTAAACTTACCACCAGTTCCATACACTGTGATGAAAAATTGTATACCATACGCTTTAATCAAATTACGTTTACGTACACCACCATCAAGATAATGTTGACTCAATCGAAAATTCCATCCCTTCGCTATATTACTCTGAAAGTCGTCCAATCGACGAAACACATATTTCGGTAAACACTTCTCCTCATCAAAGTCTAAATTACAATTCCATTCAATATGAATGGAAACCATACCACCAGTTTCCCATATATCTTTATTCACTGGATCTGAATATTTCAGTATATCACCAAGTCGAAAAATCGGACAGTATTTCATTTTATCATCATTTGGATTATACAAACATGTTTTTAAAAATAAACGACTCATCCACTTTAAAATATTTCTTCTTTTCACTCGAAAATGTGGAAATTCAATGTTATTTTTTATCATCACAGTGAAATTCTCTGCTGATGTCAGTAAATGTGGTCTTGGAATAATTTCGTGTTCTGTAGGACACCAACCGTATATTTCACATACACGCAAATTCGATTGTCTTGTAGAATTCACACATTTTCCTGTCTGTATTCCACTTCCACGTTGAACCAACTGTCCAGCATGACATTGTGAATCATTGTGACAACTATTACCAAACACATCATGAGACTCTTCACAACGTCCTAACATTTGTCCAGGTGTATAGATTAAATTGGTCATCACAAAGAATGCTGAATTCTGTTGTGGTGGTATCACGTAATCAGCTGCATCCCACACAGTAGCTCCGAGTGATGGATTGTTTGTCACATTGGCAAAAGCGACACCTTTCAATTTAGCAGTCACTCCACTTACTGCTTGATCGAATGATTGATAACCCTTTTCATAGATCATAACCCATAATACAACATAGAGAATAATTCCCAATTGAATGAGTCTGAATGTGACTCCGATTTTCTTTGAATGAATTTGTACCACTTTCTGTGTTTCATAATCGATTAATCCTTTAAAAAGAATATTGACCAGTCCATTTGTTTCGCTCATCATAATGTCCCTATAAATTTGCAACTCTTACTTACAGAATATCTACAGTTGAGTATTCAACCACACAAAAACATTAAATTAGTATTTTGGCGCTTTTATATATAATTACATAGTCTAGGATACCAATATATTGTAGAATTAACACTTCTTAACACTTTACATTTACACTATTGGTTAATTACGTTATAATGAACTGATATTTCATTGCTAGACTTAGAAATGAGACGACTGAAGTACCTAAACAGCGTTAGATAGACTGTAGGCGGATTACTCCATTTTGTAATGAATACCATCCTAAATGAATGCATTAATACAATAACAAATCATTTATCTATATCTATTATTTTGACTGTGTAAATCACAAACTCTATTCAAAGACTAATTCATCATAATGAATAGAAAATCAGTTATATGGCCTGATAGAATTGTTACATTGTTTGCATTGTTTACATTTTCAACAAAGAATCAAATGAATTAGAGGGTTGAACTGTTTCAGTTTTATCGTACACATCAAAAAATAGCAATAATAAGCAGAAATGAATGCTAAACAATTAACTAGTCAGACAACTATAAATCTGCCTATTATAACAACAATTTTATTCGGGGAAAGAAGAATAGATTGATTAAAACACTGCAAATTATCAGTATTTCATGATTTATAACTGAACAATATTTTGACAAATCATTTCAGACTATATGAATGAAAAGGTATCAAATGGTCGAGATTATAACGATAGTTTATAATAAAGGTAAATTTCTAATACAATTATGAATGATTGTAAAAGTGCTATAACATAACTGAAAAACAAGCAATCTGTTTTAGATGGTTACTGAATAGTAATAACAATCTTACTGTCAAGTCTTTCATGTTGATAGGATCCTATTCATCACGTTTCTAGTCCGTCTACTAAGCAAAATCCTCTCAAATCGTAGTGTACTTTGTTTTATTGTACATGGTGTGAGGTAATTAGTAGAACCACTAGTTAGGGCTTTGTATTGCATGATACCTATCAGCAATATGTATCTAGATATTTCATGGGGGTGAGATTATCGGTGATCCGTTTATATATAGGATAACTATAAGTTGGTCGCATCCCATGTCGTTAAACTGAAACAGTCATGACTACGGAAACAGGTTATAAGACCTCAGCCCTGATTGCTTTTACTATTTAACGAAGAACTACTACTGAACGATGAATACTTTACAGATGCCCAGTTGATCACCCGTTGCTTGGCTCAACTTAAGGATAAAATACTTAGCGAATGAATATATATCTGTGAAGCAACTATTCATAGACGTCTTATTTTTGTCAATGTAGGGTTAGGGAAATTGTCAAGCTTCATTGAAATCATGAGCCGATCAGTATTGGACCACAAATGAAAACCTGGATGCAATGGATGAACATTTCATCACAATATGGGATTATTCAGCAGCGCAAACCCTCGACCTTGCGGGTGGCAGTCGAATACAGGACCCTTTGGCTTCGCATGTGATGCAAACCTTCTAAACCATTGAAGAGCCATCCAGCGGTGTTAATGTCTAACTGCAATCAATCCACGATTTCACTAGTCATTTAGCTAAGATCAGTTCGTGATTTCAACTTTGAGAATACTGCGATCTCCATAAATCCCATATATTTGTAATAATCATTTATTCATTAAAGACCAGCTTCAAGATGTAACTCCTGGATTCCTAGAGAGAAACCATGACCAGTTGAGTTGAACCCTTGTCGCGTGTGAAGAATTTATCCACTGCAGACAATGGATAGTGGGTTATTCAGACCATAAATTGGTTGGACCTAGACATTAACACCGTTGGATATCGCATCAATGATTCAGTGGTTGGGCGTTCACGTACAAGATCGAAGGCCATAAGTTCAGTTCCGTCCATAGAAATGGCGATGCTTACTGCAGAGGAGTCTCATACTAGGAAGAAACAGCCATCTGTTGCTTCCAAACTTTCATTGGTGTTCTAGCTAAGACCAGTTCGTGATTCCAACTGTGCAAATACTTAGTCATATGTCTTAAAAAGCTGATTACTTTGGAAAATTTGGAGAGCATAATGAGTTAAGTATTATCCGAAAAATAGCGTATTCGAGAACTACTTTTAACAGTCGTGTAATATACCAAATTTGTTTCACGAAACCCAGTAGTATTAATGCCTCTAGTATAAAAAAAATGGGTATACCTGTATACTGACTTCCAGACGGCAAATTAATAGCTTCAGTTTTATAGCACCTGAATTACTAACGCGTCCAAGTCTGAAAATTTCTCCATATGCTTTACCCTAGGGCAGTAGCGTTATACTGATGAAGAACATTAATCCCACTAAGGGCTTAGTTAGAGTATTTACATCCTATGCATCACTGTATTGAAAATATTTTCTGTTGTTAACTACACGACTGTACAGAAGCGGTCAATAAATACAAATAAGGACTGGAAATTCAATATAATAACCGTTGCTTTGTTGACGAGACACGAAAAATGTTGACTTTGTAAGTATATATATTGAAAGTGGAATCATTTGACTTAAACGATCATAGTTCAATTTTCTGCCTTTATCACCTCATTAATGTGCATAACCTCTAGAGTTTGTGGAAACAATGCTTGCTAAAATATCCGAATCGATATGCTATCTCAGGGTATGTCCAGAAACGCTATCCTTATTCGTACGTGTCCAGAAAGTAAACATTATCTAACCACAGCTACCAGAAGTGACAATCCTATGTCAGCCACTGAGATGTAGCTAATAAACACGATGCGTAAGAGTATAACATTGTTTGTTATCTTATCACTTTACAGTCTTATATTTTATCAGTCGCTGCATAGTCGTTGCACAATTCACAATGTTATATTTACTTTATATTTCATAAATGCTTAATGTAATTTTAAATTATCGAAATTCCCCAACTCATAAAACTGAAAACACTTGGACATAACAACAAACAATATAACTCAGGAAAAGTACCAACTTTTTTATGAACCAAAACTCTTTAATCATGTTTACACAAACTGATTTTTTATGGTGAATATGTTTTTAATATTAATATGCTTATAGATAATTATAATAATAATGGCGTTAATCAACAATGAGTCCTTATTATTACTATTACGATTGATGGAGTCTACTTTTTCATTAATGTGTAGTGTAAATCGGCAGTTGACTCAATTGCATAGGACACACATAAGGGAAAAGTGGTAAAACTCATAGTTATAATCAGTTACAATAAACTTTATTTATCTACTTCATAAATTATAACACGATGATAATGATAATAATAACAAGAGAATGAATAAGCTTAATTAATGTCAATAAAGTACATTCACATGTGGTTACGGCGTGAAAAAGATAAGATCAGATATTTTTTAAAGATTGAAAGTATGCAAAGTAACACACACACGAAAAGATGAAGACATTTAAAGGAAAAAGTCTCAAAGAAAGAAAAGTGATTTGATGAAGTGTTTTTATAAATATACATTTGGTTTTTTGCTTTTTATCAGTAACATTTTTGTCATGCAAAAACCTGTTTTTACACATTTATGTAGATTCATTCTAATTCCATAATTATCAAATTAGGCATCAGTTACCATTTCGTGTATCACAATATATCGATATTAGTGATGTTCAGACTAACTTATTAATCGACAGGCAGAAAACTAATTCTTTATACCTGTCGAATTTTCCTACCGATGATTTGCACTTTTATGAACCACAAATGTTAACTGATAGTAATTCCCTGTGGTCGACTTGTCATAACTGTGAATATGGTAAAGTTTCACTTATCTATGCATTTTACAGAATGATAAATTGAACCTTTCTGTGTTATTCGTTTAGTGAACCAATCAGAAGTTATCCATTGAAAAGACAGTTTGATGACTACTAGAAAAAGTCCTAAAGGGCGAAACATGTCACTGGTCGATAAAAGGCTTCGTTTTCTGAGGGTTTTATATATATGTATGTAAACATATTGTTTGCTAGCTAAATAAACCTACTGACTCGCCCAATTCGTAATTCTTCAATAGAATAACTAAGTTTTCTTAAGCGAGACTCAATAGTAGAAGTAGAATGCCAATTTAAACTCCAGTGAAATTTTTAGATGAACAGTAAAACGGTCGCATTCCGAACTTAAGAATTAAACGTTATTTAGATATTCAGTTACATAATTGTCTTCAGATTAGAAAAATAGCGCTGAAAACTAGATATGTGTTCACATAGAATATGTGTGTGAATTTCTAAGTTCAGTTGACACGAAAATCAACTTCCGTTTCTACTGTTTCTAATTATTGAGAAAGCCAATATCATCTATTGTGAATATATATTTTGTAGGATAATTGAAGTTAAATTTTATACTACTTACAAGTAGCTAAAAATCTCTTGTTAAATTTAAATCCATTAATTTAGAAATATGTAACAATTACTCTTAGTTAACAGCTAACTACTTTAACCGAATTTTGGAGTCTCTCTCCCCCTCGTTAGAGAGAAAAATTCCACAATTAGCTAGAACCATAAGAAGATCTTGGTTTTTACACAAATTTACGTAGAATTTTTTAAAAGTTAATAATTTTTGTTCATATATTTACTCGAAAATTTAATTTACTTTTAAAAATAGACATTGATAATTATTCCCAGTTAATAATCTGAAATGTATTCTTTTTAAGAGAGAACTACAACAGTAGCGAAACAGTGTATTTAATCGGTGATCTCATTGAAAGACTTAAAAATAAACTATTGGGAATTCCTTATCTATGTGTATCCTAGATTCCTGACCCCATAAAAGAATGCTAACTGGATTACAAGACTTAAATATTTTAGTTTGAATCTACTAAATAGTTCGATTGTTGCTTTTCGAAAATTTTAGAATACTTAAACAAAACTACACCGTTCTTCCATCAAAATTTACTTGATCACTGTAAAATTAATAGTTTTATATTTTTGGAAAACTATTTGAACTTGAGTTACGTAGATCCAAAAGTTCGTATCATAAATTATAAGATTTGTAAAATAGAGAA